TTTTTGGTGAAGAATTTGTTTAGCGTTTGTTTGAAAAAAATTTTAGATTACTATTATCTATGTATCTATCTATGGCTGTGGCGGGTCTTTGTTGCTGCACGCGGGCTTTCTTTAGTTGCAGTGAGCTGAGGCTACTCTTTTTTGCGGTGCACAGGCTTCTCATTGCAGTGGCTTCTCTTGTTGCGGAGCACGGGCTCTAGGGCACGCGGGCTTCAGTAGTTGCAGCACGTGGGCTCAGTAGTTGTGGCTTGTGGGCTCTAGAGCGCACGCTCAGTAGTTGTGGCGCACGGGCTTAGTTGCTCCGCGGCACGTGGAATCTTCCCGGACCAGGGCTTGAACCCGTGTCCCCTGCATTGGCAGGGGGGGGGTTTTCCACACCAACCACTGTGCCACAAGGGAAGTCCCTACTATTGTTTCTGAAGGATACCTTTTGCTGCATGTTTTATTCAAGGTTTATGTGTTTTTTTTTGTTTGTTTTTTTCTTTAATTGTTTTTCCATGCACTTTTAAATATGTTGTTTCACTGTCTTCTGGCTTACATAGTTTCAGATGAAAAAGTTGCAGTTATTCTTATTTTTGTTACCCTGTAAACAGTATGTCTTTTGGGGGGGTTGCTTCTAAGCTTTTCTTTTTATTACTGTTAGCAAATAGACTATTAAGTGCCTTACTGATGTGTATGTGTGTGTCTGTTAGGGATTTTGTTGTGCTTCTTGTGTCTGTCAGGTTTTGTTTTGTTTTTTTTTTTAATTTGCAAGATTTTGTAGCTGTTATTTCACTAAATATTTTTTCTGTTCCCTTCCCTCCAACTCCAACCTAACACCTATTAGACTGGTTGTTATCATCCCACAGGGCACTGCATGCAGCTGTGTTTGTCTTTTTTCACTTTGTCCTTTATTTTGGGAAGGTTGGTTTTTTTGTTTATTTGTTTTTTGTTTGTTTGCTTTTTGCTATGTCTTTAAGGTCAATCATCTTTTCTTTTGCAATTTCTAATTAAATGTTAATCTTGCAGATTTTCATTTGATGTCATCTTTTGATCTTACTTCTGTTAGTTACAGTTTCTTAACATTTTGTTACCTTCCATTTCTCTTCTCCTTTCATGTTTTCCATATTCAATAAGATATGAGGCATACTGATAATAGCTGGTTTAATATCCATGATTATCCCTCTATTGCCTCTGTTGTTTTGTTTCTATTGCTTGATTTTTCTTCTGGTTATGACTCATATTTTCCTGCTTTTTTGTATAACTTATAAATTTTTATAATGCCACACATTTTGATTTTGTTGTTGTTTGTTATTATTTATTTGTTTTTGGCCATGTTGGGTGTTCATTGCTGTGTTTGGGCTTTCTCTGTTACGGCGAGCGGGGGCTACTCTTCCTTATGGTGTGTGTGCTTCTCGTCGCGGTGGCTTCTCTTGTTGCGGAGCACAGGCTCTAGGCATGTGGGGTTCAGTAGTCGTGGCGTGTGGGCTTAATAGTTGTGACGCAGAGGCTTAGTTGCTCCGTGGCATGTGGGATCTTCTCAGACCAGCGATCAAACACATGTTCCCTGCGTTGGGAGGCGGATTCTTTTTTTTTAAGGGAATTCCTTTATTATTATTATTAAAATTTATTTATTTATTTATTTAGGTAGGTAGCTAGCTAGCTAGCTAGCTGTGTTTGGTCTTCGTTTCTGTGTGAGGGCTTTCTCTAGTTGCGGCAAGCGGGAGCCACTCTTCATCGCGGTGCGTGGGCCTCTCACTGTCTGCAGCCTCTCTTGTTGTGGAGCACAGGCTCCAGACGCGCAGGCTCAGTAGTTGTGGCTCACGGGCCTAGTTGCTCCGCGGCCTGTGGGATCCTGCCAGACCAGGGCTCGAACCCGTGTCCCCTGCATTGGCAGGCAGATTCAACCACTGCGCCACCACCAGGGAAGTCCCTTTTGTTGTTGTTGAGTGGTAGATTTTGTTATAATACTTTGACAAGTGTTAAACTTTTTTTTTTTTTTTTTTTTTTGGCTACCAGTTGAATTAGTTGTGGATTATTTTGATTCTGTTGATATTTTGTCAGCTGTTTTAGGGATGGTCTAGAATAGCATTTGTTCTAGGCTTCATTTAGCCCTGTTCCTAAAGATGTGTTCTGAATACATTATATATAGTCATTGAGATCTTGGCACTCTGGCTAAAGGGAACATGTTTGATTCCTGGCTCTCTGTGAGCTCTGGGACTTGTTCGTATTGCAGCTCTTCTGTAATGGTTCTTTCCTTGGAAGCTGTTGCTTTTCAGCCTTGTGAGGTTTTATACCACAACTGTACAGTTTGGTATTCAGATAAAAACTCAAGGGTACCCTCATGCAGATTTCTGGAGCTTTTTCTCTGCACAGCTCGCTCTTACTGCGTACTCTGTTCGACATACTCTAGCCTCCTTTAGCACCCTTAACTGATGATTGAGCATGTGAATGCAATATGGAAATATAATTATTTTATTTTTGACTGCGTCGGGTCTTAGTCGTGGTACGTGGGATCTTCATTGCGGCATATGCGTGATCCTTTGCTGAGGTGGGGCTCCTTGCTGTGGTGCTCAGGCTTCTCTAGTTGTGGTGCATGAGCTCTCTAGTTGTTGCCTGCGTGTTCAGTAGTTGCGGTGCACGGGCTTAGTTGCCCTGAGGCCTGTGGGATCTTAGTTCCCCAACCAGGGATCGAAACGCATGTCCCCTGCATTGGGAGGCAGATTCTTGACCACTGAACCACTAGGGAAGTCCCTCTAAAGTTTTTTTTTTTTTAAGTTAAACATAACTTAAACATAACTACTACTACTTAAACATAACTATTTGCCTTAATAAATTCTAAAAATAATTATTCTCTCTTTTTCTATGAACAATAAAATCAACCTTAGCCCTGATCACCCTTTCCCATCAAGTTTTTGTCATCTCTTATTTGTTCTGCCTACTTTCCCCCTTCCCCTCATGAATGATGCTGTTTTGGCTGCTTGACTTGGTGTGTTATATTGGCAAATTTCTAATATTAAATTATACTTGCATTCTCATTATATTTATTGGTATTTTTTTTCATCCATAGTTTTTTGGATATGTTAGGATTTTGCTTTGGTTATTTCCTTTTAATTTTTTTTCTGTGGGATGAGTTTTTTTTTTTTTTTGCGGTACGTGGGCTTCTCACTGTTGTGGCCTCTCCCGTTGCGGAGCACAGGCTCCGGATGCACAGGCTCAGCAGCCATGGCTCACCAGGGAAGCCCGAGGATGACTTTTTGACAGTGTGTAGTATTGCACTTATAAAACTATTTGGACTTTGATTGCTTTAACGTAAAAAAATTTTTATATCTCCTTTATTGGTTTAGATGGATTAATATCCTTTTAAAAATAAGATTTAGGGCTTCCCTGGTGGCGCAGTGGTTAAGAATCCACCTGCCAATGCAGGGGACACGGGTTCGAGCCCTGGTCCAGGAAGATCCCACATGCCGCGGAGTAACTAAGCCCGTGCGCCACAACTACTGAGCCTGTGCTATAGAGCCTGCGAGCCACAACTACTGAAGCCCGCGTGACTAGAGCCTGTGTTCCACAACAAGAGAAGCCACCGCAGTGAGAAGCCCACACATCACAATGAAGAGTAGCCTCTGCTCCCCACAACTAGAGAAAGCCTGCACGCAGCAACGAAGACCCAACGCAGCCAAAAATAAATAAATACATAAAATTAAAAAAAGAAGATTTAAATAGGTTTCCTGTTGTTTAAAACAGTCTTTTTTGCTTTACCTTTTCATATTATTTTTCTCTATTCTTTATTGTTTTCAACTCTTAAGTGTTTTTCAAATAAATACTGTGTTCGTTTGTACTTTTTCTTTTTAGTAATGAAATAATTTAAAGCTCTGAAATTATCTGAGTACTCCTTTGTCAATTTCTAAGTTTTTTTTTTATATGTAAGTCTTTTTTTTCTTCTTTTTTATGTGTTTAAAAACTGGTTTTGACTGACTTCTATCCTTTATGAGACCTCAGAAACTTTAAAGGTCTTTTTAGTTAATTGCATTGGGTAAGAGAATTGTACTTTACCATGATTCTTTTTTTTTAAACATCTTTATTGAAGTATAATTGCGTTACAATGTTGTGTTTGTTTCTGCTGTATAACAAAGTGAATCAGCTATATGTATACATATCTTTCCATATCCCCTCCCTCCCTATCCCACCCCTATAGGTGGTCACAAAGCACCGAACTGATCTTACCATGACTCTTATGTTTATTTTACTTTACTGAAGTGTTTATAAATTAAAATCCATTACACTTGTAAGGCACGTGTGATTAGATCATGCTTCATAGTTAGATTTTTTGTTTTTTGGTGGGGGTGGTTTGCAGGAGTGTGCCTCACTTTCTCCTTAAGGGGTAGGTGTCTTAAAAATGCAGACATCTGGGCATCACTCCTCAATTTCATTAGATCTAGAGGTGTAACCTGGTGTGTGAACTTTGAACCCACTAGGTAGTTAAAAACCACTACTGTAGGGCTTCCCTGGTGGCGCAGTGGTTTGAGAGTCCGCCTGCCGATGCAATGGACAGGGGTTCGTGCCCCGGTCCGGGAAGGTCCCACGTGCCGCGGAGCGGCTGGGTCTGTGAGCCATGGCTACTGAGCCTGCACGTCCGGAGCCTGTGCTCCGCAACGGGAGAGGCCACAGCAGTGAGAGGCCCGCGTACCGCAAAAAAAAAAACAAAAAACAACACTACTGTAGACGGAGTGATCTCAAGGTCTGGTAGAAGAGGGGAAAACCTAGCCTGGAGAATACTTACAGATGTGAGTTATGATGACACAAACATATTAATATGGGCCTGTCCCTACATTTAGGTATAAGGAAGGGCTGAATATGTGGGAAAAATGGCTGTAAAGTGTGATATTTACTATTTGATATGGTAAAGTAAAGGAAAAATTGCCTAAATTATTTTGTGTACCTTCAACTTGTGCTTTATTTTGAGTATAATTCTAAGATTTAATGTGTAACATTTAATTATATGTTTATTTCTTTGTCCATAGGCCTCGAAGTAGAGGAAAAAGTACAGTGGAAGATGAGGACAGCATGGATGGGCTGGAGACAACAGAAACAGAAAATACTGTGGAAACAGGTTTCAAAACTTAATTTAAAAATTTAAGAATTTACAGAATAATTTTTACAGTTAGCAGTCGTCTGTACACCGAGTTCTAAAACTTCCATGTGCTAGAGTAGTTTAATAAGTAATGACAAAGTGAAAAAACTGAGTTTTCTCCCTTTTTTTCCCCCTAAAGCTCTGATTTAGTAGAAATCGTTTAATCTCTATAGAGAAAAATTTTATTAAAGCAAAATTAAAACTGGAATAAACAGTAATTCCAGGCCATTCGTATGATATCTCATGGGAGATTTCTGGCTTATGAACCATCTAGTGTTTGTTTATTGTGTTAGTATATATGTGAGGAAAAAATATGTTCCGTTAGCAAATAATGCTGTGAAATGCTGGGTGAGACCAGAGCAAATACTTCCTAGTCTACTGGACTTTTAGGTGCCTTAAATAAGCTAATGTGTGTTTTGCATCTGCAAAAGGAAAATAGAATAGGTTGCCCAAAGTAGTTTCCAAAGTTTACACCAAGTTAGTGATTTAATGAGCTGTCAGTGGGACTAGGGTTCATATTGTGTTCACAGGATATCTATGTGAGATGGTCTGTCATTGTCAGTATTTTTACAGTTGTTGTTTAGACATAGTTGATAGGCTTTTTCTCTGATGTTGAATGTCACCACCTTGGTGCTTACAGAATGTCATACAGTTTTTAGAGAAAATTAGAATTTGCCGTATCTTTATAATATAATTTTCCATGAAATACTTTTGGTTGTCAAATGTGTTGCTATTATATCCTTGTAATTCTTGGAAAAGCCTTCAAAAGTTCTGCAGTTCTCATTCCTTTTTCCCATAGCGTCTAGTTAAGTAGAGTGACAGGAGAGAAGCTTGGAAGTTCAGAATTCTACATTTTACCCTTTGGTGTACATTCATTACCACATTATTTATTTATTTTTATAAATTTATTTATTTTATTTATGTTTTTTTTTGGCTGTGTTGGGTCTTTGTTGCTGCATGCAGGCCTTCTCTTGTTTCGGCGAGCAGGGGCTGCTGTTCATTGCGGTGCGCGGGCTTCTCATCATGGTGGCTTCTTTTGTTGCCAAGCCTGGGCTCTAGGTGTGTGGGCTTCAGTAGTTGTGGCATGCAGGCTTCAGTAGTTGTGGCTCGTGGACTCTAGAGCGCAGGCTCAGTTGTTGTGGCGCACGGGCTTAGTTGCTCCACCGCATGTGGGATCTTCCCACACAGGGCTCGAACTTGGGTCCCCTGCACTGGCAGGCAGATTCTTAACCACTGTGCCACCAGGGAAGCCCCTCATTACCACATTACTTTAAACTTGGATTTGTATAAGTTCTCCACTAGTTATTTTTCATAGATTTTCCCCTTAATTTAAATTTTTTCTGTACTTTGTACCGTTAGTTTCTTGTGAAAAGTTTTTTGTAATTTTAAGTGACATTTGTGGTGTAACGATTACTTGCAAGTCCCTTTAAGCCAATGCTCTAAGACTGTCTACAGGTCCCGTTCGGTTGCACTTAGCAGAAGTCTCCCTGAGTACTCGGTCTTACTCTCTGAAGATGTAGCACGTCCCTTTCCATTGTCGTCTCCTTCTCCCATTGTCAATTTTAGTAAAATCTGTTCAACACCCAGACCTTGTAGCTCCTTGATTTCCTCAAAATCCTCTTCTCCAGCCCACCTCAGTCACTCATTCTTATGGCCGAACTTTAGCCTTTATCACTGTATCACTTACGAGGACACTTGCTGTTTCACTTCCAAAACTTCAGTTTCAACTGTCCTTACTATACCTTTTCTTTTACTAGCTCACTTTTTCCTAATATCCACACCACAGTAATTCTTCAGACACACTGAATTCTCCAACTCAGTGATCTTACTGATGGGGTGTGTCAGCCTCCTTTTCTAGTTCAGATTCTGTGATCCATTATTGTAGTTGTTCTGTTATGTACCCTAAACTCCTTTGCCATCCTCCCACTATTTTGCTTTCATAACAAAACTCAGACTCTGCATTTTAGCAGCGAAAATGGCTGGAGAAAACCATAAACTTGCTGACTGGTGGCATTTTAAACTTATGACCTCAAATCTCAAGTGGGTCATGATTGCTATCCTTCACTCATTATCGTCTACTTAGAATTCCCTCTCCCATTATCAGGGATAATTCTTTCACCACCTTTTCTTCTCCCTTCAAACGTCTGACACCTCATTCTTCATTTTTCAGTTGATGATCTTGCTTATTTCAATGAAAAAATAAATAGAAGCAATCAGGAAAGAAATTCCACATTTATCCGCAATCAAATCTTCTTTCTTGCTTGCGTCTCTGTCCATCTATTTTATTATACCTTCCTAACTTAAAGTGGGATGAAAAGTCTCTGGGGTCATCTACAGCCAACTCTTCTACCTGCGTCCCGGATTCTGTCCCGTTTGCGCCTTCGGTTTTCCTTGGTTTCTGGTATCAAGAATTTCTTCTCTCAGTGAATCATTTCCATTAGTATTAGCATTTGTTGCAGTATCACCCTTCTTAAACATAAGTAACTTCTCGTGGTCAGCTACCCCTTTTAGCTACCATATTGCACCTTTGCTCATCTTTATAGCAAAAGCCCTTGAAAGAATTGTCTATACTTAAGGTCGTTACTTATTTTTGACCATTTTTTCATGAACCTACTCCAGTCAGGCTTTCTTCCTCCTGCTCTCCCAGAGCTGGTTTTGATTTCGTATTTTGCCAAAACCACTGTTCAGTCTCTGTCCTCCTGAGGTATTCAGTGTCATTTTCACACAGCTAACCATTTTCAGGAGGAAAACTTTTTGTTTTAATTGGACTTTTTCAGGATGCCACATTCTCTTGCTTTTTCCTATCTCACTGATCTCTTTTGCTCATCTCACAGGTAAGGTGGTCTCATTTTTAGTTCAGTTGCTTTAAATATTATCTATGTGCTGGTAACTCTAAAAATTGTATTACCAGCTCTTTGCTTGCTTTGAACACAACCAGTATCTTCAGGTTACTTCTTAACATCTCCTCTTCCATGTCTTAAAAGGGTCTCAAACTTAATGTGTCTTCTGTGGAACTGTTTACTGTTGTCCCGAAACCTTCTATTCGTCCAGTGTTCCCACCTCAGTAAATGACATCGTGGATTGTTCAGGCTCGAAATATGGAGCCTGTTGGGAAATGCTTTGGGCTTTACCTTGATAACCCTGCTTGATTTCGGTCAGCTCTCATCTCCTCCTCTGCTGTTACTCCAGAGCTAGTCACCACCACTGCTCGTGTGGACTGCTCCAGGGGCTTCCCAACTGGTCTTGCTGCCTTTACTCTCACTCCATTCTGGTTTTGTTCTTCATGTAGTAGTGGAGTGAGCTTTTAATTAAAACCCAAAGTAAGAGTGTTTTATTTCCCTTCTGTAAACTATTCAAGGCCTCCAGAGATACTTAAAAGAAAACGTAAAGTCCATATATGATCTTCAAGCTCTACTGACCTTGGCTACCTGTCCATCCACATCTCCTGTCTTCCCCTTGCTCTCTGGGCTCCAGCCATATTCCTTTTTCAGGCACTTGAACTTTTTGTCTTCTTTGCTTGGAACGCCTTTCTCCCAGATACTCATGGAACTTCTTGCCGTACATCAGTCAAATTTCTACTCAGTGCTGTCTTGTTGGAGAGGCCTTTCCTGATCAACCTGTCAAAAAGCAGCACTTGTCGTGCTCTATCCTCTTCTCCTGCTTTACTTCTCCTCCTAGTATTTAACAGGTACGACATTATATTACATATTTGTTTGTGTGCCTTTCACACTAGAACATAAACTTCATGAGGTCAGGGATTTGTCTTGCTCATTGATTTATTCCCAGTGCCCAGAATACTTCCAGGCATATGATAGGCATTGATGAGATATATATATATATATATATATATATATATATATATATATCTCCTGTCCTGTATGAAAGTTAAATAAAGCCAATTGTGTTAGTCTTTGCTCTGTCTTTGTGCTTGGAAAGGCCGTTGTCCAGTTCCTTTAGTGAACACATAGGGCAAGCAGAATAGTAAAGAAAAGGATAAAGAACAGTTGTTAAAATTACCAACCTGCAAGCAAAGAGAAGAAAGAGTTTCGTAAATTTCTAATCAATTTAAAAGCACATTCCAGTTGACTGCAAGACTTTGACATCTCTGCACCGTCTCCAGGCCCAGGATTCATTGGAAGGTCTCTTACTCTGTGAATTGTGTGCCTTGACACATTTCTTTAACGATTTGTAGTAATTTAAGAGTATTTATTAAAATGAGTACTCTTTTAAGGTGTGTGTGGGGGGTGAGGGTTAGTGATGGGAATGAGTATCCTACAAGTGGTCATTGGGAAAGTAGCAAGAATTCTCACAGGTTTTTATGGTAAGAAAAATCCTCTCTTTTGGAGGTAGTGCAACTGTTGCCAGTTCTGTGTCCATTTTTCTTTATGAATAAAATCAACTTGAATGAAGTGCTAGTTACTTGAGGAGAGAAATTCCACTTTTCTTTGAGAGTCAGTCATTATATAATCAGGGCTTTGCAAACTTGTTTTAGTTAATTATAATTGGTTAATTATGATTTAGCTAATTATAATTAAACCTTTTTTTTTGAACTGCTGAAGTTGTCATTGTGTGGCTAGTGGGAGCCCCGTTCTGGCTGGCTTCTGAATCCTTTTTTTTAAAAAATTATTTATTTATTTGTCTCTGTTGGGTCTTTGTTGCGGTGTGCAGGCTTCTCGTTGTGGTGGCTTCTCTTGTTGCGGAGAGCAGGCTCTAGGCACGCGGGCTTCAGTAGCTGTGGCTCGCGGGCTCTAGAGCACAGGCTCAGTAGTTGTGGCACGCGGGCTTAGTTACTCCACGGCATGTGGGATCTTCCCAGACCAGGGCTCGAACCTGTGTCCCCTGCATTAGCAGGCAGATTCTTAACCACTGCGCCACCAGGGAAGTCCCTTAATCCTTTTTAATATCTCAAAATGTTTCAAAGTGGGCTTCCCTGGTGGCGCAGTGGTTGAGAGTCCGCCTGCCGATGCAGGGGACGCGGG